CCAGAGGAGAACTATGTTGGCTTTCAAATACTACCTTCTGATAATCTGGAGCATAAGAACAATCAACTTTTATGCAAAGAACAGTTGAAGAGTAAAAGCTCACTGGAAACCCTTGTGGACAAAAACAACTTTCATAAATACAAGAAATCGAATTTTATAAATTGGTATTTGCAATCCAGCCTAAATTCACAATGCATACACTACCAGACTGATATCTAAGGCTCAGAATGAGATAAACAGGATTATGATCCACATTCAAATCGTAATATAACCATTAGGGGAAATAAATTACATATAAAAACCTTAAATAATGTTACCACTTTTTCTGCTTAACAAATTTATAAAAATACTGGAGCTAGTTTATCTGGAAATGACTTAAGCATTAAGAGACGTTCAAATTATAATGTTTAGTATAATGTAATTTTTTAAAATCTAATTTTAACTTAGATACCTTTCTGAACTGAATCACATTTAACTAACCTAAAATGTGTAGGTAAATTTTGTAATTCAAAATATCAAATACCTCTGTCTTTCAGCTTTGTATGAGCTAGTGAGGTCATCAAAAAGCTTGCCATTCATTTCCATTAGGGTTTTCAGCACATTGTATACCAGTGCTACGATGGTCCTGAAACGAAAATGAGCCAGTCCCGGATTATTGGTGCTGCTAACAGAGAGGAAAAGTAACACTATCATCTCTAAAATAGGTTAAATGTTGCCCGATTCATTTACTGCATTTTAGAGATGATAAAACTAAGATTCAAAGGTTTGGAATTTGCTCAGGGTCACACAGCTAGTGGTTGTAGAGATGGTTTGTCTGACTCCCATCCTTCCCCCTTCATCATTCTTAAACTCTAGCTAAAAACTGGTTATCTTCACTTCTGCTTTAGAGTCTCATGTCTGAAACCTTGAATAACAACATGAAAAAGATCCAACTACCAAAACTTGTAAGAAAAAAGTAGCAAGTAGGATATTAGAATATACACATTCTAAATATTACTATAACCTGCACTTCAGCTTTCCCCCAGGACAGTGCCATCTGTACAGGTGAGACTGTGTACTGGGAGCAGATCAGAACGACTGCATTAAGCGAGCTGTTTGTGTGTCCTCTGTAGAAACCTGGTTGGTCTCCCCAACAGGGTTTGACTAGACACTGGTGCAGAATGTTATACCAGATAGTCCTACCTCCAGAGAGATTTGCAATTTTAAATTGACATTAAAACCATATGCTAAAGAAAATACATGTAACATTTACAACTTTATATAAAATACAGAATAAAACTGTGTGATGTTAACCAAGTTCCAAATCTGTATAGTTTCATGTCTGAGTTAGGAAATAAAGTGACAAAAAGCTTAAAAAAACAAAGATACTTACGGATTCCAGTGTTCTTTGGAAATTTTGTACAAACTGGCAAACATAATTGGCAGAATTTTATCAATATTCTCCTCAATTAAACTGAGAATATATTCATTATTCCAGAAATACAATGCCCTTTCTGCAACCTAAAAAAGACATTTAGAAATGTCAAAACTACGAGAGAAAAGAAATAGTATAAAAAAAAGTATAGCTTCACTGAAAACATCATACCTGAAAATGAGAACTGGATACACACTTGGATATCTGCTTAAAAAGTGGCTCTTCAATCTTTTTGAACTGTGTTGGTTCAATGACATCTAAGATTTCTTCAATTTCTCCTAAAAACATCACCTAGGTTTAAAAAATTTTCTTTAAGAAACATAAATTATATGATCTCAATGAAACCATACAAATGAGAAGGTTAATCTACAAATTCTACAGGGGGCAAGAAAAGGTCTGGATGGTATACAATTTACTATAACGTACGGTGGTTCTACCAAGTCTCCATACATCTCCTGCTCCGTAACAGCAGCAATGCAGCCAACCCAGAGAAGCATGGTTTATATTTATACCCCTGGGATTGAGAAATTCTAACAAAACCCACCTCTTTCTGACTGCATGTTTTTGGCCAAAATTTCAGCAGTCCTCTGATGACCTAAAAACCAAGAAGTTTAGCATGAATTAAACAATGAAGCTAGTTAATCTCAATGGCTGTGATTATTAAGTAAATATTGCTTAACTTTCCCCTCCCAACCCCCTTTTTTGAATGCAGATTAACATCACATTCCTTCTAAATGGTTTTAGCTTAAGGTACATTATTGCTACTGTTTAATAACTCTGCAGGGCTATAATGAAATGCTATTAATGTAGACCAAAAATATGAAAATAAAATATGACACTTACTGGTTCTGTTAGTGTTGTATCTTTCTCCAGGAACTGTACCACACAGTAGGCTAGCTAAAAGGTAAGGCACAGTTTATAAATATTACTGAGTGAGATAACATTTAGTGATGACAAGTTTTTTTTATATTTAGCCAACAAAAATGACTACACTGTTTTGACAAATTTTATTTCAATATATGAAAATACATTCACAATTTTGAGTATATACTCATTCACAATTGTGTAAATTTGACCTTGAAAGTAACTTCTAATTCAAGGAAGAGTTTTTAGTAGTAATTTCTAACTATAAAGTTAAATGAATTAAGACAAGAGCTAACATTTTAGCATGTTCCTGCATGTATACCTATGCTGATATATTATTATTCTCTAAATACTAATAGAGGAGACCAAAATCTCTCTAGGTTATCGTGGCTGGAAGGAACGTTCTGCAGATATGTGGGATTTATTCAAAGTCGCACAGTTATTTTAGGTCAGGGCCTGGACTAGAATATAAGAAAACTTGGTATTATCTTTTTTGTATCTACACTTCAAGTTCATAGGTCTTATTTAATAACTAAATATAATATTTTAAAATAGTAAAAATTTGCTTTGGGTAACTTTGTAAACAAATTGCTTAATTATACTTAAAATTGTCATCTTGATATTTCTCTGCCTTTATGTTTATTTGCCTTTGAAACAATATTCATTTCATTTGAAATTTTTCTGCAACTTACCTGAGCATGAAACAAAGCTAATCCTTTTGCAGTATGCATAGGAATAAGAACCTTCATTAGAAATTGTTTATGTTCTGCTTTCAGTGGCAATGCAAAGCCATTGATAATACTGGAGGAAAAAAAAGGCAGGGGAAGGGTTAAGTAGTTACTACTTTGTTTCTGAAAGTTATAATATCCACGAGTACACAAGGAACAGTGCTCTGCTTCAATCCTGATGTTGAATGACTATTCATCTTCGAACGACTTTAGGAAGACTATTACTAAGAAAGCTGTTCCTCTAAGTCATTCAGTGATCCCAAAAGAAAGTTAGGGCTGCCAAGTAATGCCCCAGGAAGTAATTTCTGTCCTCATTTTGCATGACGCCTACCACCTGATGCATTGTTGCCATTGCTGTTCCTCCCTAAAGTCACAGGAGAGTCGGTATCACAATACTGACATTGTATAGAATTTTCAATATTTTCTGAAGTAAATGTTGGGTAATCTGAAATTAAGTAGTAGTTCTCTCCACAATCATTCTCTAAATAGTAATGGAGGGGTCTAAAATTCTCTCAAGTTAATACTGCTATGTAGTAAATAAGCAAGGCAAAATAAAATGTTCATATAAACTAAAACCAAAAACTATCAATTCTTCTAAAAAGAGCAGATGGATTAGGAATGATCAACATCTGAACAAGAATTCTTGCAGCTTCCTCAAAGATTGACCACAGCTTATTTCATCTCTTCCCAATCAGACCTATAAATTTCTGTGGCAGCCTGCAAGATCAGGCATAAAACATGCAGCAGCTTCAAAAGCAAGAAGCTGGTCTTGAGACATATCTTATATGGCAATACTTTAACCATGCTGACCCCCTAAAAACCTGTAATAAGAATTCAGTTGAGAAACTATGTCCTATGATCTGTTTTTAAACTCTAAAATATGAAATAATTTCTCCAGCCCCAGCTAAGATTTTAATACATATAACATTCACAGTTACTTAATTCTTAAAAAGAACAAAACACCTGACCTACCTTCCTAATATTTCAAGGAGTTCAGCAACACCATTGAAATGTTCTGTTTCATATATAAACCTGAATTTAAAATAAAGACAGATGTAATAAAAACCAAACATCAGAAAACTAAGAGAAAAAGAAAAGTGAAGAAATCAAAGAGCAGCTGTAAGAAACACACAAGTTGCTTTAGGTTTTCTTCTTTGTAAGCTATTTTGCCCCAAATCAGTTAATTCACAGGAATCTTACAAAAGAAGTCCTATTTCCTATTAAGTCACATATGCCTTCACTAAAAGTTGCCATATGTGAAGAAAACAGAACATCACTTCACCTGGAATGTTTTGTTTTTATTTAGAGTCAGGGTTTCACTCTGTCACCAAGGCTGGAGTGCAGTGGCACGATCATAGCTCACTGAAGCCTGAAATTCCTGGGCTCAAGTGAGGCGATCTTCCCTCCTCCAGCCTCAGCCTCCCTAGTAGCTAGGACTACGTGCATGTTCCACCATGCCTGGCTATTTTTTAAAATTTTTTCTTTTTTTACAGACAGAGTCTTGCTATGTTGCCCAGGCTGGTCTTGAATTCCTGGCGTCAAGCAACCCTCCCACCTCTGCTTCCCAAAGTGCTGAAATTACAGGCATGAGCCACCATAACTGGTCCATTTATTTACTTAATTTTTAAGATGGATTTTCTCAAAGAAATGCTTTTCAAAACAGGAAACCTCTACTCATAGGAAAATCCAAGAGAGAAGGACTGATAGGTAATAAAGCCACTTTTACTGAGAATTTCCCTAAGCCTCAAACTACACAGGCTTTTAGCTTTCCAAGATTAGGATCACCTTTAAAGCAGAGAGACATAAGTGATTACAGAACAGGGCAGGTAGCGTAAATGGCTGAAGTGCATTTAGGAGATGATGACAGAGAAAAGGAGAAGGATGCTCTCTCTAGAGGAGGCAGCTATTACTCATCTGTAATTGTTGCAATGTGGGAGTGCCAGCCCAATCTTGCCAGATCTTCAATTAATTAAAACAAACAAACCAAACCTTAAATGTAGGTGTTAATGTAAAATCCCCTGATTTGAAGCAACTGCTTAACAGATTAACATTCATAAAGTACAGTCAGCCCTCTGTATCTGTAGGTTCTATCTTCATGGATTCAACCAACCACAGATAAAAATATAACAACTATTTACATAGTATTAGATATAAGTAATCTAAAGGTAATTTAAGTATATGAGAGGATATGTGGAGGTTATATGCAAATACTGTGCCATTTTATTTATATAAGAGACTTGAGTACCTACGGATTTTGCTATCAGCAGGGGTCCTGAAACCAATCCCCCACAGATACCAGTCAAATGGTAGGCCCCATATAAATTTAATTAGCTTTGTTAGAAAAGCAAATGAAAGTACTTCCAAGAACTATTGTTTTAAATAGTATTTATAAACAAAAATTTTAAACAAAAAACTCAAAGAAATAGATAACTAGCTAAATTCTCTTCTCAATAAATCTTAAACACGAATAACATTGGTATTACCTACTGAAAGTTGCCCTAAGCCTTTTTGATACGACAAGGGGCCCATTTGTCATTCTATGGCGAAGGAATCTTGCTCTTGCTCTGTAAACCTATCCTGTCCTTCCTCAATCAACTTCCTTTCATGCTTGCAAAAAAGAAAAAAGTTGCCCTCATGACTACTATCATTTAGATTAAGGTTACTAGTTTCTAAAAAGTTAGATCCAATCAAATGGTAGCTACAAAATAGGCTAAAGATGACTCAAATACTATCAGCTAAATCTACAGATTTCAGATATTATAAATTGACCTAAAAAGAACTTGAATAAAAAGAAGATATGTAGGGGGAAAAACAGTAAAGTGCTATATACGAATAAATGACAAATTTACCTGAGAAAAATGTTGTTAATTTGTTTTCTGATGAATGCTCTTAATCCAAGAAATTTTCCATAAATTCGGTGTAGAACAGTCTTCAGGAAGTCACGTTCTCTGGGATCTTCACTATCAAAAAGCTCCAGGAGCTTTAAAAGAAATCTGAGAAATTACTTTTAAAAAATAATCGAGCTAAAACTTCATTTTATTCTCATTTTAAGATTATCTGTGAAATCTTTAAAAAACTTTTAGAGATTTTGCTTTACCAGATTGATTTTATTCTTGCTAAATAATGAAGCTAAAGAAAAGCTTAGGGAATATTTCTTTTCATTTATTTCATTTCGAAATATGACAATAAATAGAAACACTTCAAAAAGTGGACTTTTTCTCTGCCTTGCCAATGATTTTAAAATTCTTTCCTATTCTCAACTACTAAACATAGCTCACAATCTTAAAATGTTAACATTTGAGGGATTTTTAATGCTTTTTGTGAGTCAAAGTTACATACAAAATCTTAAAAGATTGCAAATTATCAGATAAATGAAGCTTAAAAAAATCCATGTGTAAATGTATATTTCTAGTTTACTAGAAAGATTTATATAAACTAAAGCTTCTTTTCATGATTTTACAATAAAAAAAATTCAAGATGGTCACCATACCAACAGCTCAAAAATTAATATTCAGTTATTAGGATAAAATATCAGACATACTAACAGAGTGGAAATCGTACATAAAATAACACTGAAATAAAAAATGAGGCCAGGCCGGGCGC